TCCTAATGACGCTTCCTAATGAGGTTAAGGTGTGACCTAAAAATCGGAAACATAGCAAAGAGCTAACTTGTATTCAGAAATACCTATTACCTTTGGATTAGTGCAAAACAAAATAAACCTACACTGTACATTCGACAAGATACTACTCTTCCAATAGAAAAGAAATATGACAGGAAGCCTATATGTACATATTCCAGCTTCGAAATGCTTCCTCAATACCTTCTGTTCAGCTACATTATGTACACAAATTTGTAAACCTGCAAATACAAGAAGAGACATTTGAGTATCTTGCAACTACCACCCCAGTGGTAACTGTGGAATTCTATACAAAGGCATAAGATAAGACAGGTCTCGAAGCATTCGTAGAACACAAGTGTTCATAGGTCTACCAATCAAGTATGAGTTCACCGGAAGATAACAAGATGTTCTATGATGTGCAACCTAACCCTCCAGCTGATGAGGAGTATGTGGTCATTTCAACGATAATTTTCAAGTTCTAACCCACCTTAACGACAGCAATGGAGAACCAGTTGCTTTCCCCATCCATGCTCATGCTTGCAGTTAAACTTCCTCGTCCTCAGACTGGACTTCTTTTTTGGCCACATTACACTCGTCTGAAACAGCAGAAAAAAAATTGAGAAGGTGAGAAAGAGTACATGAGCAAACCTGTCCCCTGACTGTAACAAAATAGCCTTAGGTTCATGAAAGAACACTTGACCTTCAAGATAAACAACAATGTTCTAGCACATAAGTTATCATGAACAAATCAACCAGACTCTTGTAAAAGCAAGATGATTAAACCATTTTTTCACAAGTACAAGAGAAACAAAATAATACACTCTATTCCATTTTATGTGACCCTATTGACTGAAAAAGGATTTAGCAAAATAAAGATAACACTTCTGAAACATGTGGTCTTAAACCTACTGTAACAATTGTGTAAACCATAAAAGTCTGGTATTAAGTGCTCCACAACAATACAAATGTATCCTATGTGAGATTATCATGGAAACTTCTTTGAGGGATAGTTCTCTTTTTTGTTGAATAAAGGAAGCTCTGGCCAGGTTCAGACTTTCTACATCAATCACTCAGGGTAACAGTGCAGTACATTTTTACCATCACACAATAGAACTTCTGCCTAGCTCAACAAACATGCTGCAACGAAAACCAGATTGAAGATAGCATGCAGAATAGTATACGGGAACAACAGAGGGAAGCAACTTCTCCTCAAGGGAACCAAAGGATAGTTGGACAAGGACTAAGGCTTCAAGAAGTTCCTAAATAAAATAAAATGTATAACCAAGTTATAACTCTATAACCCTTCTCCGCAAATGATTAAGTAATGCACATAAGACTCAAAATTATCTCAGCTCCTATTAAAACATCCTAATCCAATCCAGCAAACGCAGCAGTAATTTAATCACCCTCCCCTGCAGTAAAAAGATCGAACTCACGATATTTACAGATATATAGATCTGCTATGAGTCGAAGACAACTATTTGCAATTGTTGCGATTTATGTAAAGCAAGAAAATTCATCATGAAACACGAAGGAAATAGATCTCCTATGAGTCGAACTCGGGATCCATTAAAATGATAATCAAGGTCGACTATATCCAATTGTTGCAATTAATGTACAACTTCGAAAGAAAATTCATCATGAAACTCGAAGGAAAGGTAGAGAGCTAAGTACCATTATCAAGATAGAAATTAGATGAAGGCCAGCCACGGAACGTAGCGAGAGACATAATTTCCTCTTCCGTGAGCGTATTAGCGAGCTTGTGGACGAGATCGGCAACACCGTACGAACTACGTCGAGGTGGAACCCAGTAAGAAGCACCAGGACGGAACGGAAGCCAATCGGGAGCCGATCGTCGTACTATGATCCGATGAATGGCTTCCTCAATCCTCTGCACCGCTAGCGCCTCCGCCTCTGCCTCCGGGGTGTCAGATCCGGTGCTCCTGTCTGCCTGAGTGGACTCGCTTCTAGAAGCTACCAGTAGCAGAGCATTTCGGGTGGTGTATGAGGTGGCGACGGTGGTGGTTCGGATCAGATTTAGGGCTTGAGCGATGGAACGGGCCATTAGAATTGAGAAGAATTAGGTAGTTCTATAAATAGATAAACAAACACCGATGTGGAAGGAACGAGGAACTTTCGCTTTTTGGGGATTGCCAGTAATTTGACGCAAGAAAAGGGCTTCCGGTCAATTTATCAGAGCAAAAATTTGGCGGTGTATGAAATTGGGCTGGGCTTAACTGCATCTATTGGGCCAATATCTTTGTCGAAGACTTTGATATCATTTAAGGGCTTAACTTTATGCATTTTTCACATATAGCAAATATAAAAATTATATTTGTTTGTTATAATAATAATTTACATAATTGCGCTTCATAGCAAATTTTATATTTGCTATGGAGCTTTTGATTTGTGTAATTTGCTAGATACATATAATTTTATACTAATTGTTTAAATTTGTACAAATTTATTTATACATTATAATTTATATAATAAGATCTGTATTTATATAATCAAAAGTATATATAACAAAAATATATGTCTTTGTATTTGTATATATATTTTTCTCTCACTTTATACAAACACAAACATATTTTATATATTTTATATCGAAATATATAAAATGACTATTTGTATACCGAATCAGATGGCAAAAAAATAGGATGTTTGCTGCGAATTATAAATAAAATAAACTATGACTATAACATTTAATTTGAATCAATAGTTTGTTATTTCATACAATTTTTCCCCTTAACTTTCATATATATTAAACATAAATTTATATTTGTATGATATATCAAAGTTTGCATAATTGTGTTTCATAACAAACATATATATGTATAGTTCGTTGTACATATACAATTGAAGCGAATTGTATAAGACGAAGTGTATAAAACGAGAAAGAGAAAGAGACTTGGAAAACAAAGTGTATAAAATGAATTGTATAATTATAAGTGCATAAGACGATCATATACAATTTGAATTTGTATAAAATCAGAAAGAGAGAAAGACAAAAGAGACTTGGGTAGGGAATATACAATTGAATCGAAATGTATAAAACGAGAAAGAGATAAATTATATCCAATTTGAATTTGTATAAAACGAGAAAAAGAGAAAGACAAAAGAGACTTTGACAGGATAGTACTTTTGTTATATAATTATAAGTGTATAAGACAAAATATATGTATTTGCATGTGTATATAAAATTTTCTTTCGCTTTATACAATTAGAAACACAATTTATACAATTTTATTATATGAAGCGAGAAAGGCGAATGTCTGGAAGCGATCGAGAGAGGGAGAGTGGCGAGCAAGAATATAAAGGATATGGGGATTGACAAACAGTTTGATATGAAACACAAATAAATCAAACGATAGCTACTATATTTATTTTATATTATTGATTTATCATTCTATTATAATTATTTCTATTTTTATTAGTGATAATAAAAAAACACAATTTTATTAGTATTTATAAAACTATATGAGTATGTTGTTTATTGTTGTGGTATGTCTGATATATGAGGAACTAAAAATAAGATAATGTTATATTGGTGGCAAATAAAGTCGATGGGGACAGAGACTATTTAACTATACAACAAAAATTCATACCTAACTCCAAATCAATTGGTGACTACCTTGACAAACCATAACCTCTAGAAAACTTGGCCTTGTGTCTGATTTTTCCATATTGGATAATCGTATATAAGGATATATTTAAAAGGTTCAAAGTTATTTTACGAAAATTAACTTTTCAGTCACTATCAAATTTAATATCCAATTTTTCATCGCATCACAATTTGTCATTATGATTTTATTCTTGTATTTGAAATTCATGAAATTGATTATAACTATGTTATTTCATACATAGGCCTTCTCTACATAATTATTTTGTCGTAGCTCAAATGAAAGGCGTGTATATGCTACAGTATAGGGGTGTATATGATCGGATTAGTTCGGAGTTTTCAAATATCAAATCAAATTATTCACCTAAAATTTTAAATTTATAAACCAAACCAAATTAATAAAATTCAGATTTTTTTGGATTTCAACTTCGAATTGGTTCGGATTTTTCAAATATCAAAACCAAACCATTGTGTTGAATTTTTAAATTTATAAATCAAACCAAACTAATAAACTTCATATTTTATCAGATTATTGAATTTTTTCGGTAAAGTTTGCATACAAACATATAATTAACTTGTGCTCTAAATATTTCTTTAGTCCAATCAAAATACAATTATCTAAGATGTTTCTTAAAAGAATAACACAAAATATGAGATGAGTATTGATAACACAAAAATATTCACTAAAAAATAACAATGAAATCAACATATAAAATAAAAATTGTAATGTCATAATGAAAATAATCATAATTTTAAAAGTACTAAATCATGCTAAAATAAGTTTAATAAGTATTAGTCACATTTCTAAATATTTAAGGTTATGTATTTTAATTGTTTAAATCAATGTAAAACTAAAGAACAAATATGCAATATTATTGTCATTCTTAGTGTTGAATTGATTTTCTTTTTTACATTAGTATTAATTTGATTCTGATTTAAGTTTTATTATAATTGTCATTATATATGAACTATAACCTTTATTGGACCATTCTGAATTTTAAGTTTTAAACTTGAAATAATATATTAAAAGATAAAAATTATGAATTAGTATAAGAAATATTTTAAAATGATACCAAATTAAATATTTTTATGTATGAAATAAAATTTTAGAATTACATATACAATGTCAGATTTATTTGGTTTCGGGTTATTTTTTTTAATTAAAATCAATCCAAACATAAATATATTCGATTTTTTTTTAATATCAAATTAAATCACTAGTTGATTTTTTTTTTTAATTTGATTCGAATTTTTACACCCTATACCATATATACAAAGGTTAAATAAATATACAAGGGAATGTAAAAAGAAAAGGTATATATTGGGCCAGCCCATTAGTTGCTTCAAATATAATCAGTGAGACGTAATACTTTTTTAATTTCACATTTTACGCATCTACAAAAAGAGAGTTAAATATTCCGGTAAGACTGACAGAGCAACCACAACTGCAAGGGGATTAGGGTTTCAGATCTCAGCAAAAAACTTGCCGGAAAAATGGCGTTGAGGAACTTCTACAAGGAGATAAAGGGATTGAAGGTGAAGGAGGTTCCGGGGTACCTAAAGCCGATGCTCTCAGTCGGTTACGCGAAGAATGCTATCAGGAAGGGTTTGGATAACTACCATGCTAAGTACATCGAAACCAGCTCCGTTGATCCTCTTCTCCATGTATGCTTCGGAGGCATGATATTATCCTATCTCGTCGCCCTTCCAAATGAGCGACGTCACCTCGAGCATCAACAGCACGGCGGCGGACATTGATTGTCCCTCCGATTTTCTAAGGTACCTATAGTTTAACACTGATTATGAGCTCTATCAATGGAATTGCAACTTTTCTGATCCATTTATGTAACGGATCTGTAGGTTAAAGTTACTCATTTAGATGGTCAACGTAATCACCTTATGGTGAGGATGATTTGATCTTATAATTGGATATTGCTAGTGAGGTTAAATTTTGGAAAGAACATTCAGAAATTGCTAAAATCAATGTAAAATTACACCAACATACCCGTGTATTTGCACAATTGGAGTTCGGGAGAGGTTGAGTGTACTAACACATAACAAGGCAGTTTGAAAAATACAATACAGAGGTAAAACAAGGATAGCAAATAATAGAGAAAGTGTGACATGCCAACAAAGATCTAAGTATATGTAAATTATTGCCAAGAAATTGTGAAAGTAGTCCTTGGTTGCCGTCACTGTTTTATAAGTTTAGGGTAAATGTATTTCTCTAGTATGAGAATTTGCATTCTAAGCTTTTTTATTAGTAGCACTGCTGCTTTTGCCGAGCAGAGTGTTCGTTAGATGGGATTCTGGTGCTTAAATGGAGACAATTAATGTTTAGGTTCATGTTTAGTAGAATGGAACAAAGATGCAACGCATAGAATCAAAATTGGGTTGTTGTTGTAGAGAAGTACTAATTCAAGTTTTATGCAATAAGAATATACTTACCCAAGTGAAAAGTAAGTCCCTATGTAATGGTTGTAAAGAAACAATGTTATGTAAGAAGGAATGTTGGATTTCTAAGGTGAATGCTTAAATGGATTTGTTGTCATACATGATTACATGAGGTAAAATCAATAACTTTGACAACACACATAAAGGATAAGATTAGTGAATATCATGCTCACTCTGGAGAATTGAGATGGTTTAGCCATATCTGTCTTAAATTGTCAGACACACCTTAAATGGGTGAATATGGTTGTTGAAGGCGTTGGACATGACAACTTGGACCTAAATAACATAAGAAGTTAATTACAAATTAGCTAAGCAAAAAATATAGCATAGTACAAAAATGGCCAACTAGATTTGATGTTTGATCTTGTTGTCCAATACTCCTCCTCTCTGATGGACTATTTGTATGTCAGAAGAAAGATGTAGATAACATATGGAGTTAGAGAGAACCAGACATTTCTAAATGAGAGGATAATGGATAGTGAAAATTTATTAAGCCAGACCCAGTTAGCCTGTATATGGTTGTTGTTTGCAAGGTGCATGATTATTTTTTATGATCAGGATCTGTTGTGGTGGTTGGTGCAAGTTTACTGAAGATGGTCGCAGTGAGACAACTTAACAATGCTGATTAGTATTTCATGCTTGAAAATGTTTTCCTATACTTAAGGACCAGGGTCTTAAAGAAGTGGGGAGCTATTTGTGGATCCATGAGAATTATATTGTTTTCTTAGAGCAACTATATTTTGGATAATCGAAGTGCTCTCGTCAGGTCATTAGTGTGAATTGTGAATGATGTCCTGACCTCTTATCTTGGTTGGGGGCATATCTGTGGGTCTGTGAAAATTGTGTGGCTTGTTTTCTTAGAAAAACTACATTTTGGATAATCAAACTAATCTTGTCAGGTTAGAAGTGTGAAACTGAATTGTGGATGATGTTTTCTGAGCTTTATCTTGCTTGGGGCATGTCATGTGTACTGTTTGAGCTCGAGAACTAGCTTACTTCATATAATAATACTCAAAACCAGCTATTGCATACAAGTTGTATGATACGACAGTCTCACAACATTACTTATCATGCTTAGCTTAGTTGTCCAGATATACTAATTGAGTTTGGAAAATGTCATTCTCTCATAGGTAAAATGAAAATTGAAGTGAGATTTGAGAATTGTGTGAGAACTATGGTATGTTTTGTGTTGATAGGTAGATATATGGACGTACCTTATACATTATATTTCAACTCATTCTTTTGCATTCTGTTGACAGATTGATGATACGGTGAAGGACAAACATCTATCTCTGTTGGTTGCTTTTACCCTCTTTTCAGTAATTGGTGTACTCAGTGAGGCTCAGTTGTGCAATACTTGGCTTATTTATTTGGTTTAATAAAATGTAGTCAAATACTTCCTCTCTTTGCCTGTGGGCGGTATAACGTGTGCCTTACCAAACAGAGGCTGAATTTGCTTTTTATGTGAATCAACGTATTTTGTTCTTCTCCCATTTAAGGTTTTGTCCCGTGCTCTTAAAATCTTTTTGTTAGATCGATTTTGATTTACATTGCTTTTTCTCATGACGGATAGTCTTGAAAATTCCAATGGGCACCAAAGGTGTGGCTGGCCTTGCCCATGTGTGATCAGTGATGGGTTGAACTATGATTTTTTTGGTTCAATTCCCAGAGCAGAGAAGAACAAAGAACTCAACTGTTCCAGGTTTTGATGGGCATATAATTATCCAATATAATGCTATAGGAAATAAGTACCCAATGGAATCAATCAATTGATGATATAATGTTATAGAGAATAGGTTCGAAGGGAAGTGCTTACTCATAATTCTATCGATGATATAATGCTATAGAAATAGGTTCGAAGGGAGGTGCTTACTCATGATTCTGTATCGTGGATTCTCGTGGTTAGGGTGAAGGACCAACCAACAATACATACTAGCATGTTTCTGAGAAACCAACGGCTACTCAGGCTTGTCACAAAGGCTTCTTTAAAAGCTTTTTTGTGTTTTTTTATTCACTCTCTTAAACCTGTCTAAGAGCTTACAGGATCATAAAATTGTGGCAAGTAAGTTACAAGTGGTGCGTGGTGCACGGAGCAGTAGCCTAGTTGCGATGGCGTTGGGACTTATAACTATTTATATAATAATATAAATACATGAGACAACAATGAACAACCCAATTGGAAAAAACTACACTAATCAAGTGGAAATACTGGTACATACATTATGAAACTAAGCTAACTATTCACATTTATTTTACAAAGTTCTTTTTCCATTAGAGCTCATCCTCTTGGTGTCCAGGGTCTCTATCTCCAAAAGAAAATGTTCTTTTCATCTTATTTGTAGTCTTGCTCACTGCTTCCCCAGCTAATTTTGCTGCTGATTTGGCCGATTCTTCTAAGGCGGCTTTACTCTTGTCAAGGCTTTTCAGTACTGCTTCTTTCACCTTTTCACCTGGTGCTGCTCCCCCTTCAGCCCTGGCCTGTGCTTCCTGGCTATCTCTGAAACTGCCCATTTTGCTCACAATCAGTCACAAACAAAATCTAAATGAAAAAAAAAGAAGTCATTTATAGTATAAGATATTGGTGGAAACTATAACCTGACTTACTCTAGAGTTGGAGGAGAGAAGTAGGCCTTGCCTTGTTTGATTAGTGATTCGAATCTGCTCCAGTAATTGGCTGAAGTTTGAGGAAAAGAAAACATTTTCTTGACAGTCTCTATAATAGGAGTCTTACTCGTAATATGAAGTTGTTGTTCTTGAATCTGCTGCTCTTCTTCTTCTTCTTGTCCATCTCCAGCACTGCCAATACTATAGTGCAAAGATATTGTGAACAACAGTAAGAGAAAGAACAAGTAGTAGTAGCTCCTAAGTTGAAGATAATTCTTCATGTTGTTAATGCCAAATGAGTCAAAGAGGCAATGGATAGATCACAAATTATAATAACATGATTAGTAATAGTGCTAACTATACAGCTGTTTGGAGCTTCTCCCAAATTGCTATTTTATTGTTGATTGACACGTTTTCATCATCTCTATGGCACACCATACGTGGATGCTATTGAGCTACCACTTGGCATAGAATTGGGCTGTCGTGTGGCAGTGGCACTCGACGATTTTCCTTCTTGCTTTTTTCCGCGTCAGAAATATCTCTTGGAAGTTGTCTCCGTGAGGGATTATTTAGTTCTTTACAGAAATTTATTTATAAAAGAAATAAGCCTTTTAAAAAACTATTTTGTAGTTATAAATTTATATAATTTAAAAAAGTATCCACTAAGAGGACAAAAACGGTAGAGTTAATTAGTTTTTCTAAACATAAAAGTGTGTCAATTGTTTTAGTATATCAAAAAGAAAGTTGAATGGGTTAAGATTACACAATTGTAATGTAGACAATTTCAGAATCTTGTATTTAAAAAAAAAAAAAAGAGTTTAACTAACCACGAGATGAATAATCTTGCATTTCCCAAATTACTATTATTATTTTTGTTTTATAAAATTGTGCGTTTAACCAAGTGATGCGCATCTCAAGACTCAAAAATCATATAATATATCCTTCAAGCATAAGTACCATTTGTCACTGAAAGCCGAACTATTATAATTAAAGAGTGAAATTAAAGGTGATAGGAGGGGTCAAAGATAAGAGGGAGGAAGTTGCTCGATGGTAACCACTTCTCACTTTCAACTCGAAGGTTGTGAGTTTGAGTCACTTGAAAAAGGTGGCAGCTCCAAGGTTGGGGTAGAATAAAAGTATAGCAGCAACAGTACCATTAGCCAGTAAAGATCAAGAATGTACATAATACATCAAAATTCAGAACAACTAGTCATATGTCAAGCTAAATCTGGTCTACAAGACTTAATTTCACTCCTGAACTAGAAATTTACAGATAGTTTCTAAAGGGCTTTGCTAGATTGTGAAAAGATCGGGGCAAGTATCGTGCATCACTTGTTTTAGTTGACACTAGCTTCCTCTAGAAGAGAAGAAACATACCTTAACAATTCTTCAGATCCAATGCTTACACCAAATTACAATATCTTTTACTGTACAAAACACCCCGCTGGCTGCTAACCTGCTTCTCACTGGTAGGACTGATATTTACACTACTTTCATTGCCATGTAAAGCAGCAGCGTTTTGGGATCACCACATACTTGTTTTTCCAATAATCCCCTTCCAAATCCCACTAGCACTGAAGCAAAAGCTCCACAAGAAACAACTCCCCGTCAAACCTCAACCCAGAGGATTCAGCAGGATTAAGTAAACCATCTACCATGCCACCGAAGATGTATAAATTGCGACCTGAAGGATCCACACAAGCTCGGTGAAATGATCTGCCACAAGGGTTATCACCTTTGGACTTGAGCCTTCTCCACAACTTAGTCATTGATCTCTCCGGGCTTGGAGGAGACCCAGACTGCATAATGGACGTCACTGAGCTGATATCCAACACCCAAAAGTCATTTTTCCTGTGTCTGTAGGAATCTTCTCCTCCATAAATTAACAATCGTCCACCTATGATGAGATTAGCAGAGTGACCAACTCTTGGCAGGGTCAATCCTTGGGGTATATTTTGCAAGTCAAATAGTAACTGTACCCATCTGCAGTGACTATCAGATGTATCAAAAAGCCATACATCATTAAGCACTTCATAGCCTAAACCCCTCCCACCAAACAAAATTGTTTGGTTTCCTCCAACAGGAGTTAATGTATGACCAGAGCGAGAAGGAGGAGATGGATGAGTCGCAATTTCTTGCCAAACTCCAAGATGAAGATTCTCAGACAGTTCCAATACCCATGTATCTCCCAATCGCAAGCCAGACAAACCAATTCCTCCATGAATCAGCATCCTCCTTTTATCCATGCTACATGCAGCATGAGCGCCTCTTGGTGGAGGCATAACGGAACCAACGTCAAGTAGTCTCCAGGATAATGTGATACCAAATGCATCATGTACCGCTACTTGGCCAATCCATGTATCATTTTGGCGGGCCCCATGATCATTTATTCCTCCAAAAAGCACTAGAGAATCGCCAATCACGACACATGAATGCCCAAAGCGGCCACTTGGTACCCCTGATCCAATCTTATTCCATTTCAATATTCTCTTGAAGTCATTGCCAACATATGCTACCCATGTATCGTCCAGATGCCTTCCTAAAGTACAGCACAGATAACACCACTTTAGGAAGAAATATTACTGGTTATCGATAAATTTAGGAAACATCAGATAGCAAAGTACAGCATACATTCCAATGATAATCTACAGACACAATCTCATAGGCTATTCAAAGTTTTTTGTCCTTTTTTTTTATGACTGAGAAATTTGTCTAGGGCCAACCTTTAGGACCAATGACAGCTTTTGGAACTGGGGATAATGGACCTGCCCCTCTATCCTTCACAACTAAAATACCAGGCTTAGGCTCAGACTTGTGAGTTGTGACCTAAGTCACAAGTACCTCAGCCTTTGCCACTTGAACTAAGCCTGAAGGCATAAAATTGTTCTGAGTTTAAAAGACCAAAATACTGAAAGTTAGAAGTGTCAATCATCAGGTTGAGATAGTTTCAGAGTGTGACCGGATGGTACTTCGTGAGACGATCATATATTGAGTGAGAAAAGTTCGATGCCCTCTCCCACTTCTTGTCTATCCCATTACTGAAAGAAATCTTGAGTGCTGTGTTGCATGTATAACTTTAATTGATTTCTACCCTTAAGCTAACTCTTCTGTAATTTTCCAAATCTTGTCTCGGTAAATTGAAGTTCACCATAGCAGCTTTTAATTAGGAAAAATACAGCAGAACTTATATATCTATCCCAAGACAGATAAAATCGGAAATTCTTCTCAGAAATTTGTATTTGGTGTTTCATGTGTAAAGTAAAACGAAGACACTAATCACATGAATTTCATTCAACTAGGTCCATTAAATAGCCAAACAAGATTATGCGACCCATTTTATCCAAAAAGAAACCAAGTAAATACAAAGATCTTAGCTCCACTATTGTAAGAAGCAGATAGCTACTAGCAATACAGGAAAAGCTCCATGATAATCGTCAGCAGCATCCTGATTTTGTCCCAAATGGAACACCCTATAAAGATCCGAAATGAGAGAAAAAACTTGATTTGACTAATTAAAAGATAAGTACCTTTCTAGATCACAATCAAGAAAACAAGAACAGTTATGACTTGTGAGGGATTACCAGGACACAATGGGCAAGTACATAACCCTTCTGAGCATTAATCAATAAGACCACGGGCACAAGCAAAATTGATGCTTGGAAACTGAGTCAAGCAAATGTACCAAAAGATTTATTACCCCTTTTCACTTAATGGTTCAGTTATCTTTATCCCCTTCCCGTATCTTCTTTTTTCAGTAATGACAGGACAAGTGAAAGTGTGAAACAAGGAAATTCTCTTTTTGCTACTCCTAAATCCAGGAGCGGAGCTAAGTGGGCATAAGGGTTCATCCAAACCCCCTTGGCGAAAAAAATATAATATATATGTACAAGGTGTTAGTGTGACACTTGAATATTAATAAAAATATATCATATATTACATTATGTATCATGTTATGTCCATTGGTGGATATTATATTTGGGTCTCTTTACTCTAATTAATTGTGGATGAAGGTGGTCATTAGTTGTTAGCAACTTATGTAACCACCAACTCTTCATTTCACCCATTATTCTACCTTTATTCTTGCAACTTATAGACTAAATGTTCAAGAAGGTGTTCTTTATGTGGAGTTTTGAACTCTTGGAGTTGTTTGAGTTGTAGGACATTGTTAAACTGTTGTATCTTGAGGGGGACAAGTCAAAAGTGATGCTGCTGGATAGGTGTAGATTATGTTGCACTAGGCTTGAATCTCATCAAACAGAGCAAGATGTCGTGCCTCAGCCTAAAGATTTATCCAATTCATTTTTGTTCATTTTATTTCAACAGTAATTTATAATATATGTGGTATATTACACTAACACAAGGTTAAGATTATTTTCTTTATATATACATTAGGTGTTGAATCCAATTGGCTTCTTTGCATGTTTACTTTTTTATAATTTGAATCTTTTACTGAAAATTCTAGCTCCACAACTGCTGACAAGAATGTCTCATAATTTGAGAGCGACCGAAATCCTAGCTAATGCATTAGATAGATCAATGAGCATACACAAACACTCTCTATATCTCCAGCACTAAGATTGTTGGTTCGAGTCACCAAATGAGCAAAATAGAATTGGGGCGGTAAAAGGTTTAGTTGAGAAAATTTATTTAAGTTGAAGAGATGTGGAATAGAGACTGACCTCCCTCGCAGCCGCCGCCGAAGAGAACTAGACTACCAGAAACAAAATTGAGAGAATGAGAAGCTCTGGGTCGAGGAAGAATCAGCTCTTCTCCTCCTAGTGGATGCGTCAACAGTCTGCGACAGTAAACAGAGTCCAATTGGTAGATTTGCTGGTAGAGCTTCTTCCAAGGAAATTGTTGCTGTTTATCGTCAACAGCAAAGGATCTGAGTGCATCAATGGTGGAGTTTCCCCAATCTCTTCGGCAGAGTGATTCCCATAAAGAGTCTGAGTAAGTGAGGGACCTGAACTTCTTACAAGTTAGAGCAAAGCAAAAAATGGAGTCCAAAGGTAAGAGGAGTAAGATGGAGAAGAGATGGTCTTGAGCTATTGTCGTTATTGGAGATGATCCGTTGGTATAAGGGGAACTGCAGCTGCTGCTTGTAGCCATGAGAGTTGAGAATTGAGACTTTTTGAGAGTTGAGAGTTGAGAGTTGAGAGTGGAAAGCACACGCTGCTACTGATTGTTGGGGATTTTGGCTTTGGCATTGATTTTTACCTTGCTGGGTGGTGGGTACCTCTGTTTTGCTCTGCCTTTTGTTTTTAACATTATACATTCACTTTTTTACGGAAAGTTTGGTTAAATTAATTTTCGAAAATGAAATATGACCGTAAAAATGAGGATGACGGGGGTATATTTGGAGCGCTTTGAACATGTTTTATGCTACCCACTCCATCCCAATTAACGTACCGTTTTTCAAATGTCGAGATTCAAACAAGTTTATATTTAATCATAAATCTCTTATATATTTTTTAGTTATTTTAACTTATCAATTGTTGTGACTTATCATATTTTTCACTGATTTATAAATATATAAATTTTATTTCAAAAAAATTAAAAGTTTTGTTAGCTCATTTTGATCAAATTTAAACGATGTAACTCTCAAAAATTGAAAAATGTCACAATGAAATAACGGGAGTAAAATTCAAAAAGAAAAAGAATTATTTTCAAAGTGAATACGATATTTGAAAATTGCAGATATGTTTGGCCAACAATACAAATTCAAATTGTTTTTGACTTTTTTGCGGATAATTTAGAGTAGAAAAAGTGGGAATATCTTTTTGTTATTTAAATTCTAAACTTTAATGATTAAAATGTTCTCAAAATTTGACCCAAAAAGAAGTGTATAAGATTCATGGTTTGATCGCCTCTTTAGCTTTTTCTACATCAAAAGATTTTGAAAATAAATGAAATAATTCCAACAAACATGTTGAAATTCGACGAATTAATTCCTCCCAAAGAAGTAGACAAACTATTAATACTTTGTTTAGAGTTTCAAAATGAACATTTTATGGGGTGAAAATCTTTATAAATTGAAAAACTAAGAAATGATTTATATGATTCAAATATCTGTAAGTTTTCCATGTGTAATAATTTAAAATTTTTATATGATTTTTATTTTTTCAAATTGGTAAGTTTCACCTAATTCTTACCATTTTCACTGCACTGGAGACAGAACATAGCAGCAACCTTTTCTTTATTTGGAGTGTTTGTTTGTTTAGTTGAGACTAGGACAAAAAGAGTCAGTGAGGATACTTTGTCATTTTGTGTTTTGCTAGAAAAATCCATTTCATCCTCATCATCTTGGTACTAGGCAGTCCAATAGGGAAGGGAGGTGGGTGGGCCTTGTGGAATTGTTCACAAATCAAATGAAGTCCATAGTCACTATCTAAATAATTCTACATTTTAATCCAACACTTTGCTTTAGTTAGTTTTACTAAAGTCAAAGGTGGATAAGCATAACACTAATCTTTTCCATTAGTAAACCACTCATTGGCCTTCTAGAGATGTAATTTCCAGTATTAGAGGTTTAACTTCAAACTGAAATAAGAACATTTACAGAAAGAGATTAAATGTTGTGGGGGAATAATATCATATCTTAAGATAACTTCATCATCTTGCTAGTTAATTCACGTGGTAAGCATCCACATGGCATGAAGTGTTTGGTACAAAAGATTTCAAAAAATAAAAGTCATTTCTACTCGTCAAACACCAAAAATTTCTGATTTTTTATAACCACGACACGCCCAAACTAATTTTACGAGATATCAGCTACTGCACGCTATTATATATAGCAAAGTACTAAACTCTGTCCACAAATTCCTTCTAGGAAAATATTTTCTGTCCTATCAAACATACCCCCTAGGGTCTAGGTATAACTTTTTCAGGTCTCTCCAGAAGTGAGGTGGGATAGTTGAGTATGATGGATTGTACCCTTTTTCAATAACCCATAGTGGAAACAAAAATAATTGCATCAACAGTTCCTTCTCTGTTTGGTCAATAGCTTCATATGAATTATTGCTGAGATAATCGATCACGCTACATGATCTTACCAGATGAAATAAAAAATTAGAAGTCGCAGTCATTTTTGGTTGCAGAAAATGCATCTCAATTAACAGTCAGCACTAAACAGTACAAATTTTACGTTTAAAGAAAAGCAGCACAATACTAAGCTCTCGCTGTGTGAAGGTATAGGGAAGGACCAGACAACAAATCTTACGTTTACTATATGGAAATTAAAATATGTTTGAAAACGCCCATGCAACCTCCAGAGCCCACAAACACCCCAAAAAAGGATGAGAACAATCTTGAATTGTTAAAAGTTCATACTATAGCACAGAAAATGTGAGTACAACATTCTAGAAACACCATCACCAACCTTACACTGCAAATTTAGGTCAGTAGAAGTCAGTTTTCTGAAGAACTCAGCACACCCACAACCATAACCTCTATAAGGCTACAAGTTAATACTTCTGCAAAAAAAAGAAAAAGTGACAAAACTGATTCTTGTAATAGCACAACAGCCAACGTTACACAGGCTATTCCACTGATCATTTCGACTCCTTAAGTTAAATAGATGCATTTTGCAATCTTCATTTCTGCAAATTGTGAAGTCGGCCTCCATTTATCAGTTTCCAGAGTGCTGCTTTGGCTTCTTCTAGTGTTTCAACTGAATGGCCTTCTTCAAATGATATTCTTTGTACATTGAACTGCAGAAAGTGAAGTAAAAAGAAAAGTTTAAAGGGTGTGATGTGAAAACAAATGACTCAAAGAAGCAAGCACATAGAAAGTACCTGTGCCCCTTGACGAACACGGATATCTGTCCCCTTGCTATCTATTGAGATCAAAGCGGCATCATCCACCTCAGTTTCTTGTGCTAAAAGATCTTTTAGAGGCTTCGAAAATATTGCATTGAGCTCCTATAAGAATCACCACGAGCTTAGTCGAAGTCTCGAGAAAAAAGGGAAGGAGGAAAAATGAAACCTTGTATGAACCCTAGAATGGCAAACTAGTAGCATGGGCACATTAATCAAGTCACTCAGTGATTATCAATTCCTCAAACTATCAAAAACGTACCTTAAGATATTGTTCACCACCATCAACAGCAATTTTATCAGGATGAAGTGACTCATACTCCTTGACATCCACCCAAGCAACAGTTCCAAAGCCTCCAATGAAATATATATCGCTGTTATGATTGATAAAGCAAGTAAGTTCTTTGAGCTATACATTGCTAATTGTTCTCTACGCAAAAATCTGCAATGAGAGCTTGCCTTTTGTTTCCTCCTTTCAAATAAACCATTTACAGAAAGTGGTAGATGGATCTTTTCAAATTCAAACTTAAAACATGGTAGATACGTTGGTCATGTTGTATTCAATTAAACAACCAATTATGACTCATCATAAATGGGAAAACACTGGTGGAAGACACACAGAATCAAAAAGTAGATAACCTCCAGCCTTATTATTATTACTACTATTATGATTACTATTCTTATTGTTGCTGTTATTATTTGATAGGTAATGTAAGAGTTCTATTGATTCATGTTATCAGAAAAGCTGGTGAAAATCCAGCCAAAAAGAGAGAAGTTCACAAAGAGGGTAAAGAACAGAGAAAATAGACACGTCGCTTCCGGCTCTAAAACATTGACCAAGCTGATCTTGCACCAATAATTTAGCAAAAATATACATTTGTTTTGAAGATTAACCATATCATCCTTCCTGACTTAAAAAACTCTAGCACTTCTCACCTTCCAGAAAACCCACCAGTGACGGTAGGGGATGGTGTTTCAAATTCTATAAGAGGCTTTAGACATGCCCCTCTGCTGCGCCTTATGAATCTTTTCGTAAACAATTCTGCCCACCGGAAAATTTTAAATAATCCAGAGGTGTCTTATATTATGCACAATAGCTGAGAAAAATAGGTGATGTGGAAGGAACAGCGCATCAAAAGGAATGTTTCACATGCGTGAGCTAAAAGATATACAAGTAGAGAGGATGCTTAAGCAAGCAGAATCCAGAATCATAAAATATAAGTACTGGCAGCAGAACACAAAAACTTTGAAGCGAGATGCAAGAGACTCCTGGCAGAAAAGGAGCCTGCTTTGTTTAAACAATTATAATGGACACATGATCTATCCTCATTATGTTTCTCAACATTTACATATTCAGATTCCAGAGTGGAACACTAAGTTTACTACTGTAGAAAGAAGTTGGCAGCAAGAGAAGTCGTACTGAACTGCTACAGACAATCGACATTTTCCACGAAACCGAGTTAATTAAACCCAAAATGTGCAGTAATAAGTCATTAATAAAGAGATTAATATTAGGTTACAAACAGGTAGCATAAGAATAAAATGCTTATAAGAATAAAGATAAATCCAAGTAAAAAATTCTGAAGAGACTGATGAAGTAAATAGCTAGGAGGGAGAATGCATATAATAATTTGTATACTCCTTTCATTTTCATATGAAACACGAACCCAACAGAATTATTACTTGGAAGAAAAAAAGTTGACCTTATATTTTGCATCCTAAAGTAAAAGAAGTTTCCCCATTGTTGAGAAGGACCTTGCTGATGTTTTGCTATATACTGCTTGTGTGCCCATTCCTATTTAAACAATCGATATAGTTGTTAAGAAAACTGCAACATTCATATCATTTAGAGATAATTCTAGTAACTTGGCTCAACCAACAGAAAATAATGCCAATTAAAGGTTTAGTATTCAACCTAAAAATTGCAAAATTCTACAAGTGGCATTTGAAAGCAGATTACAGAACCAAAGCTGACAGGGCAGCAAATCTTTCTTTTTTGGTTCTTTTACGGGGGCAGACCCATCATCTCCAAGTTCTCAAAGGTTGATACAAAAGGTTGGCTCCAAACAGATTTCTCAGGGTGAAAATAAAAAAAAACTTCTTTTTTAAAATCAATTAAAGTTAAGTTATATTACAAAAACAACAATATAGCTGGTGAAATACCACAAAGTGGGGCCTCAGAAGAGTAGAGTGTATGCAAACCTTACCTCTACCTCGTGGAGGTAAAGAAGTAAGTTTAGTTATATTTTAATGGAAAATAGAGAATCCACATAAAGATATGATTCCAAAGAAGATAGAAGGTCGTGAAAGGGAAACATAAGAAAATCGATCTAGGCAGAAGACACTTTATACATCATGCAGAAAATAAATGTCCACCTCAACTTTTTCGTCCATTCCAAGATAATGTATGGTTCCCCGTAAATCGTAAACAGTTCTAAAAATATTTCAAACCAGAAGTTACATAAGTTGTCTTTACAAGCTCCATATTACACTTCACTTGCTAT